TATGTTATTAAATTAAATACCACAAAGGCCGTTACATCATTTGCATAACTACATCATTTGCATAACATGCAAATTCTTTATCACAGTAGAACCTCACAATTTCAAATAAATATCTTTGTATAATTAGATAGAGTACTGTGATTGCATAATGTAGGCAACACACTAACGCATGAAGTACAATCAGCAAACCTTCCTGTATGTAATAATTAATTTGATAAGAATACTGGGCATGCACATGATGTGTACACAGCACTTTTCAGGCACATATACACAAGATACAAATCAAACTCAAATATACTGTACACATGAATCTCAACACGTACAATAACTAATGAATATGCACTCACTGGATGTTTACACAACTAAGGTATTCCAGATTTGTACAAGACATAAATGCATTAATGCTGCACACTACTAATGGCATTATAGAGAATAAAATACATATAAACTTAATAATGTAGTATACTGTAATTAGATCTAATGTAATAAATATTTCTAATAAATAAATTATAAGGTGGTAAAAATACAAATTCTATGTAAATGCTGAGGTTACCTTGATGTAGGTCTGGGCATCAATGTTTGTGAAGCCTAGTCTCTGACCAGGCCTTGTGATTGATGGTCAATTTTGATCAATTGTGATTGATGGTCTGGTCAACTAGGCTGTTAGACGCAGCTGTCCTCAGTCCGACACTTGAATAATGAACCAATCAGTCAGCTATCCTTCGGTGGTGATTATCAAGTTCGTTTTCAACACCATGAGAGGTTGGCTAGTTATTTACCTTATGTTTTGAAGGTGGATGGTGAAAAGTTTTGGGCCTATTGATCGATTTGAATATCACAATTGCCACGGGCCCCCCAGAGTTTTCTCTAGTTTCAGCCAAGCCAAGAGTTCACTATCTATCGGGTCCCAACTTGTTTGCTCATGGTACTTGCCAGCTGCATGCATGAATCGCTGATCAACTGGAGCCTCGCAGCACAGTGACAGTCTCACAGCATACTGGTAAGTATGGTATATTATCATACCCATTGCACCTCTATATTGCAAAGGGGCTATTTTGCATGTTCTACCATGCCTCCTGGTCTTGTAGAGTCATTTCCCTATGCATTTCTAGAATCAGTCCTATGAATAATTTTCAAGATTAATTATGCATCTCTTGCCTGCACTCTAAAGAGTAGATCGAGAGATTGTAAGCGGAACCAATAATTTAGATGCTTGATTGAATGGATTAGGGCAGCAAAAGTTTTCTGCACATTCTCCCGTCAGCAACTTCCTTAACTTTGAATGGGTCTGTTAGTGTGCAATACTATTCCACCCTAGACAGTACTAACATTTAAAAAAGTTTCATCAATTGTATGGCATTTCTTGTTGGAAAGGTTTTTGCTATCCAGCCTGTAGTTTTTCTTGTTGCTGTGGCAGCTACTTTATCGTGTTTTTTAAGAGGTCTTCCGACATGATAACGCCCGGGTCGTTTACATTTCATTTTCTTTCCATAGTGTGAAACCAGGCCGAATCTAGCAGCCATACATGGTATTCTAGGAGCATTGCTCAATAATACTTAAAGGAAGGTATAATATAGACCCATAGTTATGCTGGCAAAATTCCCTTACAAATAAGTTGTGCATCTCTGTTTAGATATCAGCACAAGGTTGTCCAAAAACTTGGCAAGCACCGAATTACTGGATACCCCCCTTTTCTGGTTAATAACTCTGTGGGTATTACAAAATTTATCTGATCACTCAGAAAACTCAGCCCCTTTTTTATAAAAAATTTTTTACACTTTATCTGATTTTAAAGGTATTTCCTTATTTGTACATTTATTTTCATTGTTCTGGGAACCTGGAATAAACACTCATCCACTTACTTATCCTAAGACAGCAAAATGCAGAATTTGATAAATTCTAATAATTTACTATAAGAGTGGTACTTATAGAGGACTGAGCTACAAGTAAATGCTGAGGAAACTAAGTCTCAATACACTAGAAATGAAAGGGAAGAGTTAGATTATAAGATCAAGATGTATAATATTCTTAGAAACATTGAAAAATCAGAAAAACAATGTTTAACAGGAACAGGGATAAGACAAGAGAACATGGGTGGATATAGAAATGAGGAAATCATAGGGATGTAAGAAAGCAGTTTTTCAGTGTACGAGAAGTACACTGTGCTAACTCCTAGGAAGTCCCCAACTTATATGGGATGCATATCGGGTATTAGTAATGTAGACATTCATGTCGGAACCCGATTTTCCATCAGAATAATGCTATACAAAGAGAATACTGTACATTCATGGACCACCAAAATGCAATACTGTATATAACACCATATTTTAGGCACAAATTATATAATAAATGCTCTGTCATTTACTTTGAATGATCAAGTTGTCCTGCATTTCAACATAGCAATATTTAAAGAGTGAAGAGGCCTAATTACTGGAGTAGGAAGAGATAATAGGGTATTGAGGGTCCCGGTAGTACATTCGGGTTCGTTTTCGACATGCAATCGAAAATTCGGGTTCAAATCCTGGGTGGGACAGAAATGGATGGGCACATTTCCTTTCACCTAATGCCACTGTTCACTTAGCAGTGAGTAGGTACTCAAGAGTTAGTCAGCTTGTGCGGTTGCATCCTAGGCGGGGTCAGTAATTCGGCCTGGGGGGGAGGGGGGAACCTTGATAAAAGCCAAATGTGTATGAATAAACACTGGCTTCCTGTCCCCTAACACAATGAATTAATAATGAATGGTTGGCAGGGATTGGTGAATCATCTTCATTGTTATTGTCTTTTGTAGAAATTAGTAATGTTTTTCATATCCCAAGTCATGAGAGACCTTTTCCTTGTTTTTATTGTAGATTTCAGAGCTGAAGAGGCCATCACATGTTCCACAAATTGAGTCTTACTCTTGATTATAGCTCCGATTGCGACACAGTTAATACCAAACACGTGTGTGATGTGTGTATCTTCCTTGGCACTTGTGTATCCCTAGCTCTTACTCATCTATTTAGCTATCATTAAGGATGTTTTCACTCAAAAAGCAGCCAAGTGGAAGTTAAAGTAACACTGCATTATGGACACAACAGTGCGGGTTTATATAGCAAACCGAGACACTATCATTTGTAAGATTAATCGTTTCAAGAGTAGGACCGAGTTCAAGTTAAAAATGACTGCAATAGATAACTGAAAGATATGTGCATGCACATATAAAATAGTAACAGGTAGTCAACAAAACTGACAAAAAAGAATTTTTAAAACTTTAACTTTAAACTAAGGAAACAAACCTGCCAAAAAAATTTAAAGTTTACTTTTGTAATCAAAGTGGTTGACAGAACAAGTGAGGGAAGTGGTAGAGGCCAAACCAGCCAGTAGTCTCAAAAAGTCATATGACAGTACTGGGAAGATGGGACACCACAAGTGTTGCTCTAATCCTCTAACTATACTTAGGTACTGTAACTACATGTGCAGCCACCTCCCCCTCTCCCTCTACCCCCCCCTCCAACCCTGTCTCTCACTATGGATCAAACATTTGACCATAATCTGAAGTCTACCCCATTAGCACTTATATGCCATTGGTCAAGGTTAATGTTATGTAAAAAAAAAGGTAACCACTCAAATAACATTGTTAAGTCAATTTTAAGGACAGCAAGATCCAGTAAAAAAAAATGTATATTTTATTCCTTCTAAATCTTCAAATAAACACTAGTGAATAAGCATATAATGTGTGAGGTCTCCAGCATTCACAACAGCCAATTAAAATAATTGCCATATTTTTCTTACCAGCTAGGTACAGCCTACCACATACATTACACACACAGCTGCCCTTTAACATGTCTGGAGTACAGGAAAGATGTGGTCACAGTAAATTTCACTGCTCTTGAACTTAGTCATCATAGATATACATCCTCCAACTTTTCCCAATATAAAAAAATAAGTACACAAACCACATCAATAGTATTTGTACTTCTACAATAATTCTTACCCTGATCACAATTTCAGCCATGCACAATATATTACAAAGAATATCTGAATGAAAGATATCTGCATGAATATTCAGGAAGGTCAATAAGAAAAAAACATGGGATATTTTCTAACTTATTGAGTCATAAAAATGGGCATGCTAGTAACAATATATAAAGGGAATAAATCAGGAAAATATTTGTCATCTAAATATAAATAATTTTCCCTTTTATATACAGTATGTAGTACATAAGTATCCAATTACTAAAAAAAACTCTGACACATTAAAACAAGTTGCAACAGTTGTCTAATACTAAATTAATTGGTTTTACATGAAGCTCTTGAGTTTTTTCCTGATATTAAAAAAACAAAAAACTTTCCTGACTTGTGTACTGTATAGCAACCATAACTTTATCACAATTCTAACACTTTTTCTTGTTTGGTTTGAAAAAGTGAAGTTCTACTGCATTAGATATTTTTTCTTCTAAAACTCTCACCAATGAGACATACTGTAGGCACACAAATGTAACTTCATTTATTACTTTACTTCCAACTATATATATATATATATATATATATATATATATATATATATATATATATATATATATATATATATATATATATATATATATATATATATATATATATATATATATATATATATATATATATATATATAGATATATATATATATATATATATATATATATATATATATATATATATATATATATATATATATATATATATATATATATATATATATATATATATATATATATATATATATATATATATATATATATATATATATAGATATATATATATATATATATATATATATATATATATATATATATATATATATATATATATATATATATATATATATATATATATATCTATATATATATATATATATATCTATATATATATATATATATATATATATATATATATATATATATATATATATATATATATATATATATATATATATATATATATATATATATATATATATATATATATATATATATATATATATATATATAGATTTAAGATTATATATCTTATTCTTGATTATAAAACCAAAATATCTATACTTATTCTATAAAAAGAACTTTAAACCCCATACTTTATCATAAATTATAAGTGCTATTTAAATGCTTAAAAAGTTTCATTTGGAACATCCATAATAAAATAGAGTAACAGCTTATCTCTTATGTGCTGAATGGATTTATATTAGATATAAATACATTTACTGCTTAAAGATTATTGCTTATCTATGACATTTTTACCTGTAACACTGAGTGCCAATAATAACATTGAATTCAAGACAAATGCTTATTTATTCCCAGAGAATTACTAACACCTGCCATCCTTCTCACTGCTAACTCTGTACACACACAAAATGCATAGAAAACAACTTGTACTCTATCACCAGTATGTACTGATAATCTTAAATCTATAAAATAAATATATACAGTACTGTACTGTATTTAAAAAAAGAAATACTAGCTACAGTATAAGGAATAATGATGTCAATCATTTTCATATTCATACTATTAAATAAACTCTAATTCAAATATGGCAAAAATGAATTTTGCAAGTGCAGTTTTTACCCTGATAAAACTGCTAAACTATTTATATAGACCATTCAAATAAAGCAGCAATAGTAGAAAATCACCGGCAATACTGTATATGCTGCCTTCTGACTAAAACTAGCATAGCATGCCATAGGTTTTGTCCAAATTATTGTTACAGTACAGTATATGCTTTTAATAACAAGAAAGATTTTCATCAAATTTTATCCCATATATGTCTTTTCTTGAGACAGCTAGAAGACTTACCAAGACTATTGTCATGTTACTAATATGATCCAATGTGCAAATCAACTTAAGATTCCAGGTCAGGTTGGGTTTATTTTTCTATAATTTCTTTTCATATACAGAAATGTACATTCATTGTCATTACTGTACCTTGTTTTCTACTTTTATGGGATGGGCAGTCTCACAACTACACAAAAATCCAGTGTTGAGTGTAATGAAATGCCCTTTTCTGGTAGGCCCTCAGTAGCTACCAAAAGCTTGCACACCAAGTTTTGAGAATCGCACCGAACCTGTGAGACCCACGCTGGCCTACTGGGAGCCAGGATACAAATATGCACTCTCTATGATGCTAAGAAACTTTAGGTAATCAAAGATCTATCCAAAACCAAGAAAAACAAAATTGAAAGATTAGGCAAAACAAAACATGCTGCTACATGAAAGTCAGTCACATGCCTACACATAAACAAAATGTCTCATGAACACAGTAGACCAAATAAAACCCAAAAGCCCAGAACTGGAAATCCACCTGGTCTTTCCTCTGAATGGATAAGCAAGTGCTCAGGTAAATGTTACAGGCTAAAATATCGTATCGACAAAAATGCATGAGACTCAACGTCACTCACTAAGCACTTCCAGCTATTAGCACTGGGCCCTTCACTCTAACACACACTAATGAGTAGGGGCCCCAAGGTGACCAAATCCCAAGGCATCACCAGAGACATGCAAAGACCCAAGAAGAAGCCATCCTAGGGCAGAATTATCTGCATCAGAGAATACAATTCAGTTTAGAGGCAATCTTCACTAAACAGCATGCCAGGGAAGATAACCCTGAAACCACAGCTAAAGCAGGCTAAACATCATGGAACATGCAACATGAGAGGCAAATTACACTCACAAAGAGCGTAATAGAGTAGGAAACCCATAAGTAAATCAAAATAAAACAGAAAATTCAATCACTCAGAAAAAATTAGACATGACCCTTGGAGACGCCAGCCAGAAAAACAAAAAAAGAGGGCATCATGTGAAAGAGAATGAATCGGGAAACAAAAAAGAGGGCACCAGGAGAAAGAGAATAAAAAGATGTTATGAATCGGTGATGGGCCGAGTGTCACAGAGGCCCTGGTTAACTAGTGCTACTATTTGGTGGAAGTTTTTTGTTTATTTGGCATTTATTCATAATAAACCTTTCTCCATGAGTGTTTTGAGTTATTACAACTCTTTTTAAACCTATGGTGAGGTTTTCTATTATGTGTTATGTCTGACACCGTTCTCCCACCTCTGTGAGGAGGCAGGACTCTGGTACTTGTTTCTGGTTGACAATGAGAAAATTCAAGATGCTTGGTAAGATGGTCTTCTTCCTGGGGTGCCAGTGCACATGTTCTGGGGAGGCACAAAGTAGGCCACAATAGAAAGAAAACAATAACAAAGCAATGGGCACCAGCAGATCTAGCATCCCAAGAATAGAAAACACCACTAAGCTTCAGCAAGAAGCAGAGGATGACTCGTGTCAGATTCCATGTCTGTATGTCGTGACCAGTCAGGTGAGTGAGAGGGCAGGCTGGGTGGCACCAAGAGTGACCTGGGTTGCTACTTGATAAAAGGTCAGACATATCATAATATGGGTGTTTACTATGCAGCAACTATTGAATGCTTCATTCCCTCTGGGCACCTTTTCTTCAAGTAGTTGCTTGTTTTATTGAGCTGATGCTTTCTCTGAGATTTTGTTCTCTGTTTTGGATTTATATCCAATTCCCAAGTTCCCCCTCACCTCACAGTAGCCAAATTCTGGTCTTGGCTCCCAATAGGCAAGGGTGAGTCTCGGATACCTGGTGCATAATGCAAGGGCATTGCTGGTTCAGCACTTAGCTTGGAAGCTACTGAGGGAACCCTTCCAGAAAATGCCACTCTTGTTTCCTTCAGTGTAAGAAGTCCATTTCTAGGAATATATTTCGATCTAGATGTGATAAGTGATACATTTGGTTAGCTAGAAAATTAGCTCACCTGATTTTTAACTATTTCAGTTTAGTAACTTCGATTAAATATTAATTACCACAGCCATGGATGGAACAACATTATCTACCATATGAGTAGCACCATGCACTTACATTTGGTTACTATACGTCAATGATCTGGTTACTATTAATGACTCTGAGGCAGATTACATGCGAAGCGGATATATCTGATAAAATGTAATAGCTATATTATTTCATCATTGATGTAGCATATTGATTATACATTTTCATTATTCGTCTCTAACATGTGATCAAAAGCATAAATATATTGATACCGTATTTAAATAACAGATAAAAGCCTACCTAACGATCAAAATACTGTTGATAGCTTTCCATGAGACATCTGATTATCTTCTGATCTTCAAGTGCAGCTGGCTCCTCTTCAGCAAGAATGTTGGAGCAGCACGAGTAAACTTCTTCCCGACGGTGCTGATGGTCCGTCCATCCTCCTGTCAAAATTACACCCTCCAAAATGCGCAGGTACTCATTGCGCCGCTAGCAAAATAAAAAAATTAATACACAGTATGGAAAGAATACATAGAATAGAAAATATGCTATTGATATAATTTTACTAGTAAAAATCAATTGTTGAATGGAATGAAATGATTGCTGGTGGGCCCTCGGTAGCTTCCCGAACACATATACATACACAACATACACAAATTTAAGCTGATATTTAACAGTACTCTAAATTGATAATTCATGCTAAAGATTGCACTTTACTTAGACAAGAGTTTTGGTAGCTAAATATAGGTATGTATTTAACACATTCGTTCCTTAGGGACGGAGATAACGTCCACAAATAATTCTGTGGATGTTCCTTAGGGACGTATGTGACGTCCAAAATTAAAATATTTGTTAAATATAAAGTTTTCATCCGATCTTTATGGGACTGCTTTTAAAATGTGCACCAACGTCTTCCCATTCTATTGCAAACCGAGGTGAAAATTGAGGTAAGAAACTTGAAGAGTAATTACATTTGTGCGCAGATGTTGCGGGTGTGCCAATGGGTGCTCGTTAACTGGTAACGCTTGGCTGACTTTCGGCTTTGCTGCGGGTGGGGCACGCTGAGCTTCTGGACCTTATATGCATATACCTCTGTAGGGAATTCTATTGCAAACAAATTGATACCAAAATAAAAGACATAGCACGAGATTTGAGGTGACAAAATTGAAAAGAGAATACACATTTTATTGCTCTTGCGTACTCACAGGTAACGCTCGGTCGATTTCTGAGTTTGGTGCGGGTGGCATGTCGGGCTTTTGGACCTTACATGCATATACTCCTGTAGGGAATTCTATTGCAAACATTTTGATACCAAAATGAACGACATACAACAAAAATTGAGGTGATAAAACTGAAAAGAGAATACACATTTCAGTGTAATGAGTGTACACCCGGGCCACCTTGGGGTAGTCTGGTGCATGCACGCCCAGAACGTGAAAGTGTTAAAGAGCAAGTATGGGAGACTCACTAAGTGAATAGTAAACATGATTAACTTATTACGAGGTATTATGTGTGTTCGTAGCTTTTTCAAGAATATAAAAATACCAATCTTATGTAATCTCACAAACCCATTGTACCTTCTTGTAAATAAAATGTATTATTATTATTATTATTATTATTATTACTACGGATGAAAACACTCTTGGAAAAATATGCTGAATGGCAAATAATTTATATTACATCATACCAGTTAGGTACTGTATTTCTTTGTTACTCATTTTAATTAGTTTTGAGTAGTGCCTCATTTTATTACATTTAGGTGGCTATTCAATAAATTAGGAGCCTTTATTTGTATGACATTATTTCAATGGCTGAGACAAACTCTCGGAACATCAAAAAGATATTTGTTTCTTGTGTGGTTTCTGAATTCTGTTTCAGCCCTCCAAATACATTTTTAACTGTATTATTTTAAGTCACCCAAAACACTTTGCATACTAGTGGCCATATTAAAAGTACATACTCTAACAATTATTAAACCCATGTATAATATTCTTTTGCACATTTTTAAATAAATTATTTTTATTATTGTTATCATAGATAATTATCTGGGAAGGCACCAAGCTCATTTGACTATTTAAATTAAAGGTATTGAGTACACATGAGAATATGTGCCGTGAGTTTATATTTGGCATGTTCAAGAATTCATTAAAGGGTATTGCATACTACTGTTTTGGCATTTTTATAAAGCTTCACCACAATTTTGCCTTTCTTTTTTTAATGTGCACTTTATAGCTGGATAAACGTGGCAATGAATATCATAAATTACAAGATGTCTATTGTATCTGCTTCTTAAGAGTAGAAAATATTAATTTATTCACTGCACATTTTTCTCTTTATAATCTAATAAATTTAGCAGATTATGCTTACTACAATGCATCATAATTATCATATACAGTACTTTTGAGTAAAGTCTTTATTCTTTAAAAATAAAAAAGCCTGAATCAAAATGTATTTACTGTACTGTTCCTAGCATGACCATGTCTCTCTTGTAACAACGCTTGGATATTTCCAGGCACCATCCCTCATCTGCTGGACCATTCCACCTCAAAGTAATATACCACAGCCATAAAGATCTCAACTTCATGCCCACCAGCTTTCCCTGCACATCCATCACCATTTTATAACATACCTTGACCCACTATTTTTATTCCTTTTTAAGTCTAGGGTTATTTTAATATTTTTTTTTTAATAATGAGATTTTAATAATGAGGTAGTATTTACATGCTATGTAGTTGCAAAATTATTATTAGCCTAGCAAATAGTTTCCTAATAAGAAAATTACAGCTTTAATTAATTCTACACCCTTTTCAGGGTCCACTTCTCACCTTATCATCTGCTGGAAGATCTGTCAATTGCCGAATAATTATATCACACACCACCCTTTCATCGTTAGTGTAAAATATAGATGCTGTGGCTCGAGTAGAGTACATGTCCCGCATCATCTTTAGCACAGAGTTTGGGGACTGTCGCTCATGATCAAACATAACCAGTGGATCATCTGTTAAATACAAAGTAGGATCTTACCATTAACAATAAAGCAAAAAGAAAGTGGTGTAATGCTGCTACACTCACAATTAATGATCACTGAAATTATTAAATTATAATAAGACTATTATAATTTATTGCCATCATGGTATAAGCCAAATTATCCAGTCTATCATTTATACCAGGAAGGAATTACATCATGGAAGTACAAGAGTGAGAGATGAAAATCATAACCTTTACTACTGTAAGCAAATCTTTTCTTTGGCTACATCCTAACTGGGAAGGTGATGAAGTCTGTCTTGGAGTCTCAAACAAACCCCAACCACTGGATATACAGTATTGAGACAGGAAGAACTGGGACTCAGTTTCTATCAAAAGCTAATATAATCCAGCTCCCACAACATATCTCTGATTACAAGGAAAAGCCAACGACTAGGAGCCCAAACCAGCAAATTGTAGAGTTAGGCCAAGACACTAAATCCTAAACACCACAGTTCTTGGCGGACCACACTGGTCAATCTAGCGAAGGTTTGGGTGCTATGATGAGCACCCAAACTAGGCCCTGAACCTTTAATGGATAAGGACATGACAATACACATTCCAGAAGTCCAGGCACAAGTAGAGAGAGGACTGAGATCAACTGGTGAACCAAAGACATACTGGGTATAGAGAAAGTTGGCATGGGATTTAAACATTGATCCTCACCAAATTATCATATACTTCTTGGGAGAATCTCATTGGAAACAAAACTAAAACCTGAAAAATGAGTCACTTCAATGAAACCTATATATAATAATGCTTGAACATGGGCATATAAGTATGGGGCAGAAGACTGCCTTACACCGAGGGATACCCTAGGCAGATGAATCATCTCAAGAACATAACAGTCCTTGGCCCAGAATACCTGAAAAGCCTACAGACATCACTCACCACAAAGTCACTAGGGCTTAGCACAAAAGACCTAATGGAAGTACAAGAGTGCTGCTCAAAAGGCAAGTGCTGCTCCAAACAATGGACTGACAACTTGGACCATAGAAATGGAAAAGGAGCACAAGAGAGCCTATACTTAATCTAGGAGCCTGACACGCTCCTTTCCATGACCCCAATCCATGGGAAGAGGAAAGAAGAGATTTCCACCAAGATTCATGGTGCAAAGGCTGGAAGGTCAAATGCACAGCTTCCATAAACTATTGCACATCCTCATTCATCCAATATTGCAACAAAAAGCAGAATACTGTAATATACAATCTCAGAACTGGATCCAGGGGCAAACCAGGGTTTCCATCCCATAACAGGAGCAACAAGATTCATTGAGCCTAAAGGACAGAGTTGGGACTTAGGAAAGCTATGAATGTCAGAGCTCTACAATTGCACCACACATGTGACAAGGTGGAAAAGTAAATAAATCATGCACAAACTAACAGCAAAGTTAAAGAAATGCCCCAACACAGAAATAGAAACCATTAGGCCTCAATGTTAATACCTAAGAAGAGTCAAGGGGAAACCAGTTGTCATCCTCTGCTATCAACATATTTGAGCAAACCACATTTCCTACTTTAAGATGATTGGCTGACTGAGGAGCCCAACTCAAGAGCGGCATCTCAACTAGTCATTTCTGGGAGCTAGACACATGGAAAGAGGCCAAAAACAACCCCAGAGAGGGAAGAAGTAGCACTATTCATGCAGACAACATAAAACTGATAGCTTCACCAAGGCCCAGAGTAAATGGCTGGAAAGTCGTATGACATACAGCCACCACCGAGGAAGCTAATGCCTCTAGTAGAGCATGCAGCTCCCTTCTTGCCACAAGTCAAGACTCTCAGAAATTGGGAATTCTAAATTCATAACAAAAAAAGGGGATAGCTTACAATATCCCACTGGCTGGGAATTTGTGACTGATATCATCAACATGTCAATGCATGAACCTACAGCAGAAAGGCGAGCTCAAGCAGGACTGTGATCCAGACTTGACAAACAGAATACATCTGAGTGAGAATAGTATAGCAACCAACAAGAGTACCAAAAACAGCTGGGATGATTATCATTAACATAACACCATAGGGCCCCCCCCCCCTTGAAATACTCAACCTAGCAGAACAGGCTTTATCTGAAACAGAAAGTCCAAACCTACATCACCAGGGAGAGCAAACTGGGTAAAAATCTAGTAGAATCCCTTCCAAAACCAAGTCTGAAGGGAACACCAGGTTGCAAGATGCATTCTCTCAGTAAACACTAACCTATCATTATCACTACACACACTACTAGACTATGTATTTTAATTATAAAATTATTCCTGAACATACCTTCTCTGTTAAACAGTAGTAGTAATTTTTCTGTAAAGTACTTTGTACTGTCTCTTTGTGACAAGAGCTTGATGATCACATTTTCCAAATCTACTCCAGTGATATTACCATTTTCTGTCTTATCTACATCACTATTATTCATAATACATTTGTCAGTAATTTTGGCATCTTCACTATCATTCACATGATTATCAGTAGATTTTGTCCATGGGTGAGCAGTGGGTAGCAAGGTGGAATATTGCAAGTTAAAGGCTAAAACTAAAGTCAGGTAGAGCTCAGCCAGCTGCTCTGTGTCAGGATCTTCATTGTACTTCTCTATTCCATCCAGTAACATGTCCATAAATGTTTCATTCATTACACCTAATTAAGGAAAAAATTATTAATTTAACTTGCCAAAGACATATAATAAACAAGTGTCACACTGAACCGAGTGAAAATCTCAAAATATAAAATATTATTGTTTAAACATTTATTACTTTAATAAGTATACTGCTCAACATAGCTACATTTCTATGCTACTGAAATTTAATTCAAGTATACTTTTCTGTGCCTCCCAGTCACAAGATGTTTTTAAACTTGCTGCTACCTACTGCCATTTCACTATCTTACAAAGATTAGATGATGTTATAAAAATGTTATTTTCTTTCAGTTATTCACACCTAACCATAAAATTCCATCACCATTTTTGCCTCTGATGAACTGAGTCACTAATCTACTTTATATTATTCTTAGTTTTTGCACTTCATCTAACAAAATCTTACATATACTCTACTAAAGACCTGGCCAGTTATCTTGACATACAATTTGTCTGTCAAAAGCTTTTTTGTTTGTTAAATATGAGAGGGATAAGGAATCCTGTTAAATTAGGTTGCTTTAATTTAAGGAGGCCTCACTGGATTATTCTTAGTGCGCCCATTCAAATATGCTGCTACTTTAAGAATTCAATTTCACTGACTGTATATATAAATTAAAATACATAGTGAATGTAATGAAGCTCCCTTTTATGGTACAATAGATAGAATACATTGGGAGCTCCCGTGATAAACAGACCCCACCCTAGAAACAACAACAGAGAATACAGCAAATACAACATAATTAGGATGCAAGTTTACCTAACAAAAACTTACTGTAATGTGTATAAGGTAATGTGTCGCCCATACACAACACCATCCCCAACACTAGAGCAGTATACTGCAACACCTCCTCACTGCATGTACCATCAAGCATTTCTCTGTAACATATCACATAAATAATAATAATTATCATCATCATCAAAGTACATGGTAATAATATTATTAACTACTAATAATATAATAATGTACTGTAATAATAATTATTATAATTTGTTATTCAAATTATTCATAACAATATTTTAAAAGCACTAGCATTAAAGAATATTAAAACAAATTCAAATAACATGAACATCTTAACTACTTTCATACACAGAATATGTCACAATAACCGGCTCAGAACACTGGAAAATTGACAATTTTCAAAATCGGTCTAAGAATTTTCCCACATATGTAACCCCCAAAGGAATAATTTAGTAGAGTACAGTCTCTTCATACTCCACAATATATAAGTGGTCCACTTGTTCATGAGCTCTTATATCTCTATGAAAAAATATATTCCAAGACCTTTCAAATATTCTATTAATGGAAAATCAGTATTCCATTTTTTCTCACTATGTCGACCAACAACCTTAATAAATAGATTTTTCTGATCCCAAGTATGACCTGTAATAGACATCATAGTGAACTATAGCTTTTAAAAGTTATCTTCACATTTCAGCCTTAGACTTTTTCTTTTTTTCTTTCTTTCTTTCTTTCTGTATAAATGTCAGTTAATAAATCCAGTTTTTAAATTATTAATGCCTTACTGATTTTCTTAGATGAGTGATGATATATTTCCAATGAACTACTAAATACTCTTGCCAATTTAACACATTATCTTGAATATACACCTTGCATGAAAATGGAAATTTTAGCAAACAGATTTAAAGCAGCAATACAAACCTTGCAAGTTCTACTGGAAATACAGAAGCAGAGAGATAAGAAATATTTGCAGCAGACATCTGGCATACAGCACCAAACACCTGAAACAAAATTTAAATTTAATATATATATTTAATAATATACTAGAAAGACAATTTTCTGGGTGAGACCCGGAGGCTCCCCGGAGCTTATTCAGGCTGATATGCTTATGTCAGACTTTGGCGAGTTCATGACTTGAGCTGACACGTCTGCAGACTTATTGTACAGTCGAAAAGTCCGTCCACTTCCTTCTTCTTGAAGGTATATCAAACGGGTTCTTCTTCACCAGGGGATCAACGGAGTGCGACCTCCCCCTCATGATTTCTTCAGCTCAAGTGAGGTCAAAAACCCCTTGAAGCGAGCCTCACATCTCCAGCAAATTCTCCACATCTCAAGTCAAGCCATTTATTTATATTCTTATTCATTGCCCATACTCTTAATCTACTCATCAAATTTAATCGAGTGTTTACTATATACACTTCCAGGTTTATATTTCTTTGACCTCTTAGGTAGGTCAGGTCTGACAGAATAACTCTCAGGGGGTAAACTTGTTTCTCCTTCAGCCTGGGATCATAACAGTTACCAACGAAACGTGCAACGCCCGTGCTACCTGCACCCGCATAGTCTGCATAAGACTGGGTAAGTCACAAACAAGCAACAAAACTCGTAGGACTCCGAGCCGAAAGTGCCACTGACCCTACAGGCAACAGACAAAGGCAAAGACAGTGAGTCACCCTGAAACAAGGGAACAGAGCAACCTTCGAACTCGCACAAAGCGAGAGGGGACTCCGGGGTCACATCCATCGATCCCATGTGTCCCCGTAGAAATTCCCAGGGTCCTGAGACGGAATTACGCTCAGGGAAGCCCAGGCAGGGTACTGCTAACTGGCGCCTAAGTCTACCAAACAACGTTCTAAGAACTGAACCCCCGGGACGTGTACACTCACGGAAACCTAGCAGGGGGAACCGCCGGAAGAAGGAAGAGTACTCAGTACACAGGGGGGGCAAGAATCAAGGCAGACCCGCCACCAGGCAGACAAACAAAAAGAAAAAGAAAACCCCGCGAGAGGACAGCGTACCCAGGCAGAACAGAGCCGGCCGCCATGATTGGTGAAAACAAGCTGCGCAGTACCCTGTGCCCCTACCAGCGCAAAACTGCCCCCTCATCCTAAGGCGAACAAGGGAGACAGAACACCCTAGCACACAAGGGACGGCCGAAAACCAAGCAGTAAACGGTTTAGCAGAGGCAGAATCCAAGGAACTTGGAGAAGGTAACCCCCCAAGCCCCAAGGGCAATACTTACAGGGCATCTAGGGAAGGAAACCCTAGGCGCATGCATCCCGAGTACTGGGGAATCACTCCTGGCTCACGCACCACCTAGGAGACAGTCACTACACAGGAGGTACAGTGCTAAAACAGGCACTGGAGCCAGAGCACAAGACTGTTGAACATAACATCAGCCTCAAAACTGAAGGGTGGATAGCCAGGCAGGGATCTGGGGCTCCCCCCTTCCCCCTCCCAGGGAGGGGAGAGCTGCGCAGACAGCAGCGCGGCGGCGTGTGACGTCATGCTCATTTCTTTTTGTGGAGTTCTATCCACTTGTTCGGCTTTTGGTAGCAATTTTCACCAGAATAGGGGTTTGTTTTGGGACACTTACCTTTCTGGGTGCCTGACCTGGTCGATGGCAGACATAGAATGCTACCAACCACACGGGAGTTTCTATAGGCCATTGCTCCCCATGCCTCTCTGAGGGGGGTCAGGTTCTGGCTTGTGGTCCCCAGCACCTCAAGGTAGGCCCACAGAACTCCATACACATGACTGATGCCAAAGTCTGACATTAGCATATCAGCCTGGATAAGCTCCGGGGAGCCGAAAGGGTTCCCACCAGAAAAAACCTAGATGCTATCCCCCAGCTCTCCCTCTCTTTTTCTTAGTTAGGATAGCTTTCCCTTTTGAGATTTTGTTCTGAAGTAACATCAAGGAGCTACCGTAAAAGAAAGGTGTACTGTATAATTATGACTAACACAAAAGAATAACAATAAGTACAGAGTAATGTATACTATTATATGTCATATTAAGTTACATTATGAGAGGGTAGGTAGTAAGTGCAATGTTTACAAATGATGCCTTGAGCCAACCAAAGAAGTAAAATGCTGAGACTAGGCAAATAGTTACGAAAGTACAAGCAAAACTGTGAAAAAGAAATTAAGTAATTTCTCAGGCCAAGTAATGATACCTTTAACAGAAGTTTCCGTAGTGGCCAACGTGTCTCCATTTGGTAATATTGCACTAATGTCAAAAGGGGACGAAAGTCATCTAAGGAGAGTACAGTGCGGCACACCATTAAATCCCCATTATTCTGGAAGAATAAGATTAACATAATTATTCTGTGGTACAAGAGACAACAATAATAAGAAAGCTTGACTAAGATGCCATGATATAAATTACAGGGACAAAATATAGAAAATGTGGTCATCAATAAAACTATTAACAGGAAAAACAGCATATAGAAATAAATAAATAAAAAATGGTCATGGGCAAAAGATAAAAATTTCTTGACATGTAAACTAAGAAATAAATTTTTTTCCAAGTTATAATGAATTCTTTTTCAATAATATATTGCATACTATACATAAAGAAATGTATTTTTAAATTTAAGTAAGTTACATATAGAGGTACAATGTATAAAATATTTGAATATAATTTCAATTCTCCTCCAATCAAACTACGATTTTTCTGTAAACCAGAAGGGCTTCTGTAATAGTGCACTGTAAATCTACTTGGATGTTGAGTATATCTGGTTTTATGTTACAAGTACTGTATTGTAAAATGTTGAATGTAATGAAATGACATTCTGTGTAACTCCTCAGTAGACCCCAGTTGCTTGAGGGACAAGTACAGTAAATGAGCCTCCAAAAATGTGCCAGACCCCAGTGACTAGTTCAGCTTGCTGTGTACTAGGATCAGAATGTAGCTTGCTCAAAGAGGCAAGAGGAGCTTAGAGTCAGAGATCCACCCAAAATCTGGAAAACCTACCAGAAGGTTACAAGTTAAATCAGAACTGTTGCACCAAAGCACAGACCTCCACCAGATGGCAGTTCAGATCATCCAGGGTCTATGTTTTACTACCACAAGAAGTGTTCCAACTCTCCATACAAAAAATTAAACAGGGCAAAAACTGGGAGCTACTAAGGAGCTGCACAGAAAGCAGCAGTGCCTCGGAGAAGTGAATGGATTTATCAAAGGGAACAGAGGATTAGGAGAGCAAAGATAAATAAAAAAAAAAGGCTAACCCGTGAGAGAAAGAAACAAGACCAGTGGCGTTACACTCGCCTAAGAGCCACATAACTACAACACAGATGTGAGAAACAGAACAAGGAATGATCAGCCAACATACCAGAGGACCACCAAAATCTTGAGACCCAAGAGGAGCAAATGCAAAAATTGCCAAATAGAAAAGAACATTATAGATGAAAAGGTAGACAGGGCACAAGCCTGGTAATGCCAAAAACTGAAACAGCTAGCAAACACTGCTCCCTGACAAAGCAGGAAAGGACCCCCCCCATGTGCCTAACTGCAGAAAATATAACCCCCACCAAAGAAATAGAAGAATGGGGCCCACTCTGTGGGAAAGCAGAAACCAGGTAAACCCTAGGAAGGACAAATTCTGAACAAAAATACATAAAAAAAAGAGGCCATCCACCTAAAAGCATTTAGGGATGCCTGATCCTAGCAACCGAAGGAAGGAGGCAATCAAACATCAATCTGGATCAGACCAAAAAGTAATGAAATGCCATTTAATGGGTAGTCTCAGTAACTTCCCAGAACATTGGTTCTAGTTCCAGAGACAATCACAAAACTACCAGGCATCTGGGCTTGCACAGGCCTACTGAACACCAGGGCCAAAATCTGGTGGGCTCACAAAGATGAGAGGAGCATAGGGATCTTTCAGAAAGTAAAGGTAAAGCAAAACAAATTATGTATCATGATGAACGAAAGAAAAGATAGACCCAAGGGAAGCAGAAGTTTGCCTACGTCAACAAACCAAGCACTAATATCCCACCACTCTACCAAAACAACCATGAGGAACATGGCAAAGGGCAAAAAAATCTCCTCAGTAGCTCCCAGTACAACAGCTTCTCAGAGGAAAACAGACTTTGGGCTAAAAGAAAAAGTAATAAAGGCACATGAAGATAGTTTGCCTACCCATACGATGAGAAGACTGGAATTCCAGGCCTCATGGAGAGAACCCATTGATTGAAAAAGAGGCCCCAGTGCTACACAGACCCTGCAGGGACAAGGAATATCCAGCAGGCAACAAGCAGCTACCACTGTCAGAGTGCCAAAACCCCAAGTTCATATATTAACAGTAGACATTAGAAAAGAAAGCCATAATAGCAGCACACACCATGTGTTATGCTGATAATGTATACATCAGGCCAGCTGAGTCAAACCAGCTGACAGATAATCTGTGAAAGCCTGGCCTTGAAACAAAGCTCCAATGAAATGTAATTAAAAAAAGAGCAATAGCACTATGGCCATAAGACAGACACAGTATTATGGTACACCCCAAGCTGGACAAAGCATCCACCAAAAGGATAACTATAAAAAAGCAAGGACTCACTTTTGACTTAAAAGGACAAAGAAGACTGAAGATGGAGAGATAACCCAAGGAGGAAAAAGACAAACTTTTCTTGCCGTGAGGAGCATGAAGTTTGCAAGTGTAACTACCAGAAGCCAAAGCCAACAAACAAGCCTTGAAAAAGTAATTCTCTGCTGCAGGGGGACACAAGAAATCAAGAAGAAGACAAAAAGGTTACCCATAAAGGTTTTCAATCTAACCAACACAGAAGGTGCCAGACTAGTTTGTATACCTGGTTGATACCTGGTTGATGGAGTTCTGGGAGTTCTTCTACTCCCCAAGCCCGGCCCGAGGCCAGGCTTAACTTGTGAGAGTTTGGTCCACTAGGCTGTTGCTTCGAGCGGCCCGCAGGCCCACATACCCACCACAGCCCGGTTGGTCCGGCACTCCTTGGAGGAATAAATCTAGTTTCCTCTTGAAGAAGTCCACTGTTGTTCCGGCAATATTTCTTATGCTCGCTGGAAGGGTGTTGAACAACCGTGGACCTCTGAAGTTTATACTGTGTTCTCTGATTGTGCCTTTGGCACCCTTGCTCTTCACTGGTTCTATTCTGCATTTTCTTCCGTATCATTCACTCCAGTACATTGTTATTTTACTGGGTAGATTTGGTACTTGGCCTCCAGTATTTTCCACGTGTATATTATTTGATATCTCTCTCGTCTTCTTTCTAGTGAGTACGTTTGGAGGGCTTTGAGACGATCCCAATAATTTAGGTGCTTTATCGCGTCTATGCGTGCCGTATATGTTCTCTGTATTCCCTCTATTTCAGCAATCTCTCCTGCTCTGAAGGGGAAGTAAGTACTGAGCAGTACTCAAGACGGGACAACACAAGTGACTTGAAGAGTACAACCATTGTGATGGGATCCCTGGATTTGAAAGTTCTCGTAATCCATCAGATCATTTTTCTGGCTGACGCATTATTTGCTTGGTTATGCTCCCTAAACGTTAGGTCGTCAGACATTATTCCAAAATCCTTTACATGCTGTCTCCCTACTATGGGCACATTTGATTGTGTTTTGTACCCTGTATTATATTTAAGGTCCTCATTTTTACCGTACCTGAGTACCTGGAATTTATCACTGTTAAACATCATGTTATTTTCTGATGCCCAGTTGAAAACTTTATTAATATCAGCTTGAAGTTTTTCAATGCCTTCAGCAGAGGTTATTTTCATACTGATTTTTGTGTCGTCTGCAAAGGATGATACGAAGCTGTGACTTGTATTTTTGTCTATATCTGATATGAGAATAAGGAAAAGCAGCGGAGCAAGGACTGTACCCTGAGGTAAAGCGCTTTTAACTGCGCTTGGACTATTTTATATGGTTGACTGTTACTCGCCGAGTCCTGTTTGACGGAAAACTGAGTATCCAGCGTCCTACTTTACCGGTTATTCCCATTGACTTCATTTTGTGTGCTATCACGCCATGGTCACATTTATCGAAAGCCTTTGCGAAGTCCGTGTATATCACATCAGCATTCTGTTTTTCTTCAAATGCCTCAGTGACTTTGTCGTAGTGATCAAGTAGCTGTGAGAGGCACGATCTTCCCGCTCGAAATCCATGTTGGACTGGGTTGTAAAGGTCATTGGTAAAGGAAGTCCCATTGATTCCAGTCCAAGTGAAAAACATCCATGATATGGAAAGAGAGCAACAGAAAGAGACAACCAATGATTTCAAGCTGAGGTGAAGAGATCCACCTGACAGCGGCAGAATATGTTGCAGATCCAAATGAACGAGTCCCCATCCATCTATCATTCTGTTGAAATCAGATGAAACAAAGAGAAGTTGTTTGTTAGCCATTAGAAACACTCCAAATGTGAACCACATTGAGGATTAAGCCCAGAGAATCCAGAAATGTGGCTATTTGGACAATACATCCAAAGAGAAAAAGGTCGAGAGTCTCCAGAAGTCTCCTTCTGTTGGACCACTGACATGCCATCCAAGTGAAACTAAAATTGCAGAAGCCTGTGGAAGAGGAATATGCCAAAGTGCTATCCAAACTACTACAAATTCCCTTGATTTGATATGGGCCAACTGCAGACATTAAGACCACAACCCTTAGCTGACAGGGCAAAATATGCAGACAAAAACTCAGCTAAGACCCCACACATTAAACATATCAAACAGAGGAAAGGAAAAAAACAAACATACCATGAAAAGCCTGAAATGTAAAAGGATGAATCAAATTCCTCCATAGGACCCAAAGAGTCTGCAGTACACAGCCTTGAAGGTGGCAAAATGCAGACCTGCAGATATGGTGATGGTACAATGCTTTAGCTAAGTCTGACCCAATGGGAAGACTGCACAGATAAGACAGTTAGAAAGGTGCTGACAGGAGTACGAGAAAACATAATGCCATCCGAGAAGGTATCTCTACTGGGGAAAGGGAAATGCAGTCAACATTAATGAAGGCAACCCTAAACCAACCTAGAGCACAATAAAACTGCTAGGGACATGCAATGTGGGCAACATAAAACAAGCAATAATAAAGCATAACCCCAGACATGACAAATTATCCTATGGATGCAATATCACTTATTTGCAGGTATCAGATGAACTTGCCCCACCCAGATTGGGCGATATGCTTTGCAGATACCAGGCACACAAATGAGGGGTAACAAACAGAAACCCCTGAATGAACCGAGTTGCCATCTGGTTGGCTCGCTACCTACAATTATTTACCTTGTTTCTTACTTTTGTTTTCTTAAGAGCACTGGTTTGTTTTATTTTTCATGTGACTTTTTTGGTCAGTTTAAGTTTTAGGTGGTTTTTAGACCCTACAAAGCTAACTTTTTTTTTTTTTTTTTTTTTTTTTTTTTTTGAGATATATACAAGAGTTGTTACATTCTTGTACAGCCACTAGTACGCGTAGCGTTTCAGGCAGGTCCCTGGAATACGATCCCCGCCGCGAAGAATCGTTGTTACAACCAAGTACACATTTTACTGTTGAGTTAAACAGAGCCTACAGTTAAGGATTTGTGCCCAGTAAATCCTCCCCGGCCAGGATACGAACCCATGACAGAGCGCTCGCAGAACGCCAGGCGAGTGTCTTACCACTACACTACGGAGACTGTAATTGCAAAACTACCTTGCAAAATACACAAAGATTCTGGTCCTGGTTTGCTACAGGCTTACATTAGTCACAAGGCTTGGCACATTTTCGAAGGCTCTTGGATACCAGTCTTTTCAGTCCTAGGAAATACTGTAAATGAGGGGGCTTGTTGCCCAGAAAATCTTTATTTTTTTTTTAACTTTTCTGGTGAAAAGTTAAATTAATGTATAATTAATTAAACTTACTAGTAGCTCTAGAAGGTCAGAGAGATGAGTGGAAATAGTATGTTCATCTTCATGTAATGCCCATGAGCGTTGCTGCTCATCATCTTTACACTCTCGTAGCTTCTCCAGCAGGTCCACCAGATGACGGCCATCTGAGCTTTGTTGCCACTTATCACCCACTCCATCCTTTACATCTACAATGCACAAGAACATATTTTATTTTAATTATATATTGATTCAGTATATATTATCCTATTTTCCACTGTCATGAAGTGGAAATGAAACAGCTATATAGGAAAAGAAAATTAAAATACTAAAATTACTAATCCATCCATATATAGCTAACATATTTACAATCTTTTGTGAATGGTTTATAGCTTCACAGCAACTAAAATTATTCAGTATTACTTCCTATTTACCTGACGTTTGGATCTGTAAGCAGGGCAATATTTCATATCAGAGCAAAGGAGAACTTTTCAGTAATACATCTGAGTGCTCAATCCAACAAAGAACGTAGAAAGAAAAGTGCTTTACATAAACTTAAAAAGGCTCTTCATCCCCTAAGATGAAAGGCATTGCTATCCCAGAACAAATTGGCAACAAGAAGTGAAATAGATGTCTCCAGGAGGGAAATGGATACAAGGGCAGTAGATGAATAAGGCAGGCAAACTGGTATTTAGCAAGAAACTATTCCTTGGGTGATGTCAAGGAAAAGATTTGAGTTTTTATGAATAGAATTTCTGCTGGTCATTCTAGGAAGCACTCTTCTGTGATGGCCTAGCACTGTGCACAGCAAATGCTACCCTTGGCAAAGCCTTGTGTAACAACTCAAAAAAAAAATACGTAAGCAAAATATTTGAAAAATCATCAATTGGCTTACCTCTTTTATTTGTTAAAATGTGGGAACAAAGAGGATGGAGAACTGGTAAAACTGTTCCAAGTGAGTTCAGTACAACTTCTACAACCTGCAAGATTACACAATACTATAGATAAATAATCCCAAAGTACAGAATAGTATGTTTAGCACACAAATATTATGATATAACTATGGTTTCAAGGAACAAGTGTAGCTGAACAACCATGTAAACTATGCTTGGCTAATTGACAATATTGCAAACTCAAGGATCATAGTCAACTACCCACTCTGATAAAGATCCAAATTTCAGTGGTATAAACAAGCATGGGTTGCAACACTTCACTTTAAGGCATTAAACTGTAATACTTTATCCATTGGTCAATGCTAGGTATACAAGGATTTTGCCACTAATAGTCCAGGAGCTTATGTGGAAAAAATTATGCTAGGCATGCTTCATGATGTCAATAATCCTTACAAGAATGTAAGAACTCTTGTAATATATATAAATAAAAATATATAAAAATAAATAAATAAATGTTCAAATACCTAAAATTTTAACACATTTCTTTATAACATTCTTTTATCTCCCATATATACAAAAGCAACATATTTAATACCTAAAACTTTTACATTTCTTCAAATCTTGTAAATTAAATTTAAAATTAAAATCTTATGGTATACAGTATATAAATCTAGAGCATTTACAAACCTGGTGACTGGTCATATAGCTAATGCTGGTACTGCTACGCACTTCCTCTACCAAAGCTCGAAGGTAATCATCAGGTACTTGTGACAGTAGCAATCTGTCGGATGCATACATGTTGCAGATAATCCTCTGCATCACACATTATATTATATAGCTTAAATTGTGGGAAATTTTTACCCACCATATCTAATAATCATCTAAGAAATGTATAATTTCTATATCATATCTAAATCATATCAAAATCATATCTAAATCGTATCAAAATCATATTTGAATCATTAAAGATTCATTATAGCTTGATCCTGGATGACAATGGCACCATGAACACGTACGCAACAGGGGCCCTTTTGATGCCTACGTGACTTTGTACATGATTTCTCAAGGATCCAGAAGCTTCTAGAAGGACTTCTTAATTAAAAAACTATTGGAACATTGATTCAACATCCGGTAGGATTAAAAATCGAATCCTTAATAAGAATCAGTGGTACTTTCAAATACTACTTATAATCTTTAAATCTTATATCTAATTATATTATAATCACATCTTATTTCAATCATAAGTCTAGACTGTAAAAATAATCAATCAATATTCATAGAAGGCTACCGTGCACAGAGAGCATGGCAGGGCGATGGGGGGAGTGAAGCGCCCACCAACAAGCCCAGCGGGACTCCGCGTTTGTTTACAAATGAGTGAACAAGTGACTGATCCTTAGCGAACATTACCAGCTCAAGGACACCTTATCTAACATTTTTATCGCCAGTGAATACTCTCTAGAACTGGGGGAGTACCTGGACAATATCTACGAGGAAAATCCTAGAACATTTACATAAAATAGAGTGTATAGTGGAGATCAGTGACACGGTTTCCTCCACCTTCATTCATAAACTTTTATCTCGAATCATTCTTCTGCAACTGCAGGATAATCACGTAGCAACGCTACCAGATCATCATACAGCAACGCTGTAGCAAAATATCGTGCCTAAACTCAACAAGAGAGAGTTAATCAGTCTGGCAAACTTGTCAGACAGGCACCCCGACTGGCAGAGAAGTATATTGAAGGTTATTTGGTATATGATTGGCCAATTGTATGCTTGTGTAGCTTTAATATCCTATAAATCTGTCTGTTGGTTAAAAAGCGAGGCTAAGCCTCACATATCGGTACGTTTATTAAAATTGTAGTGTAGCTGTGAATCTTATCCAAGCACTGAACCTCATGAGTGTCCATTCTGTCAGAAAAGAATTCAGCCTCAATAAGTAAAAACCTCACAAGTGTCCACAGTCTTGGAAGAGATTCAGTCAAGCTAACTGTATAAAGTGAATATGTCTGCATATATATTTGAATATATAAATTAAGTTATCAATAGCTTGCTTAGTTATTTTTAAGTTATCATATAAGTTCATTTAATTGAATATAATTTCTAGTACTTAACAGTATTTAGACTACATTTAAGGTCATTTATTATACTTTTACAATTTAATTTGTTGGTTATAGTATAAGTACATATTGGCTGTTAAGTTATGGTGCTAGGTTAGACTATGTACGTTTAAATCCCTGATTTAAACAGAGCCAGTGTTCAGTCATACAACTGAATTTATCAAATCTTATCCTTGTATAAAATACAAGCTGATGTGAGATCCCTGTCTACAGGTGGATTGGAACTTCTATCAACTAAGTCATTCACCCCACCTGTCCCTTACAGCCCACAATCTGTCATTAGGAAAAGAGGATCTAGGATTTACAACCCTAGCTAGAGATTTTAATTGAATTAATTTGCAGACAGTAATTTTTTAATTTAGTTCAGTACAAGTCCCTGGTAGTCTCCTCTTATATCAATCCCAGCAGGTTTTTCCCACATTAATGGTCCTTCGAACCTAGATAATAATGGTCCTTTATACCTAGATATTTATGATCATTCGTTTACCGAATATTTCAATGCCAAATACATAAGAAACTTCTTGATTTTGCATTGGAATAATTCTTACATATTCTGGCCTAGCCTAGCTATCAGCCAATGTTTATCATAGCTATATATCTAAGTAAACAAATTGTTTGCAGTGGCTTAAGCCACCATATCCATTAACTAGTAAGCATTCATAACAAACTGATACTGTTTTGTGTTAAGAAACCACAGTAATTAAGTATATCAGTGTCAAAGACACAACTGCATCTTAATCATAAATAACATTACCTACCTCATTGTGGTAACATTACATATATATTTAAGTGTATTATCTAGTATTATCTCTAATCAACTGATTTTCAGAGCTGCTCATTACATAATATTCTTTAAAAAAGTGTTATCATCACTGTAAGAGCATCATTACAATCTATCTATAATCAACTATATCATACCCTATTCCAGGTAAAACCAGTAGACATTCTACTGTATTTTATCAATCAATTATTATGGTAACAGATTTTGTAATAACTTTGCAAAAATAGTGCCATTTACTATTTTTAAAAAATTATTACAAGATTTACCAACTTGGTGCATTCGTGCATTCGGGTCACAAATCAAATTATTACAGTACTTTTGATAATTGAACACCTGCTACAACCAGATTCCAGGGAGGAAATGAAGGACGATCTTTGGAATCATTACCTAAGTAGACAGGAAAGCTCATTTATCAAAATACATTAACATCATACATATTTATCAGAAAAAAGAGAAAAATCTCGGAATCTCTGAAACTCGGAAAAAGTCAAAATGACTAACAGTATTTCACCAGCAACTGAAACAGAAAAGAAAAGGACACAAAGTGTCTAAAAAATCACTTGAATCTACAGCCTACAGACCATTTAAATCAGGTGATAGACAAATGTCATCATCACTTAGCTACAATAGTCTACAATTGGGGATTAAGACCAATCTTAATCTCACATCACAATCTGAAAGGCTAACAACACATTGACAATGTCAATACAAATATTATCATCCATCTAAGATAACTATCTTAATCCAAGAATATAGTCTTGATCACCTAATCTCATGCTTTCACTGGAGTGAAAGCAGCCTCAGAAAATCTGAAGTTAATCAAGCATCTCAGAGACTTACTTAATAGAAAAGGCAAAGCCGAGAAAAAAAAAAAAGAAAAAGCAAAATGCTTCATCACATCATGAATAATGTAGATACACATTATTACAGATACAATTCATCCTTTAAGGAAATCCTTGGAGGAGTACAAGTGTTACATGCTTGTATCACCTACTTGCATGTAATTACTTACCTACAAGTTTTACATACTTGTAACAACATCTTATCACAAAGCCAAATCTTTGATGGACTTCGAGCTTACGTACAAAGATTACGAAGCCGAGGAAAACTTAGATCTCAAGAAAAAATCCCCAAAAGTGAATCCACGGACAAAAGCAAAAATGTCCAGAATGGCAGTCTAAAATCAAGGCAACAAAATTCCTCTTCTGCAAAGTGGAAACAGAATAATGTTGGCTCTTATGCTATATCCCCCACAGTTAACAGAACTGTAGGAAACCAAGCTCCTAAGACAGATAAGACAAAAGGAGCTACAAGTGCCCCAAAATGTTTATTCTGTCAAGAAGCACATACCATTTATCAATGCACAGTTTATGTAGGCCGTGCCAGTCGAATCGATCGACTGAAATCTCTGAACAGGTGCATCCGTTGTCTACGGAAGCACGATACTAGTGAGTGTATCACTCAATTGCAAAACTGCCAATATTGTCATAAAAGTGTACATCACACAGCACTCTGTAGTGATATTAACACTCAATCCAGATCACAGACTTCCAATAATCAACCTGCATCTCAGGCAAAGCCCAAAGATGATAATACCACAACAGCCGTACAATTCTGTACAGTAATGAGCAATGTCAACGACTTGGATACAGAAATTGTTACAACAGCCATATTGCCTACTGCACAGCTAGAACTATGCAATCAAGGAATTTGTATTCCAACTAGAGGCTTTTTTGATCAAGGGTCACAGAAAACCTTTATCAGTAAAAAGATGGCAGAAGATTTACAACTTAAATCTTCAAAGCAAGTATCTACATCCATATCAGGGTTTTTTACTAATTCTGGTCGTAGAACCTTTCCAGTAGTAAAACTCAATGTCTGTCTAGGTACATCCCAAAGGACAGTAGAAGCCATAGTAGTTGATAAAATTCCTACTGAAATGGAAGTGACTGGTCTGACAGCAACTATTAAATTCCTAAAAGAAAAAGGAATCCAATTAGCAGATCCTCTACTCGATTCTGACTACATAGGGGATATCGGAATCCTGATTGGAGCTGACTACTATCATCGATTCATTCTGGGATCAGAAGAATCTATGGGTATGAATATACTCAAATCAGCAGGAGGCATATTGATGACAGGACCTATACTAGATCTTGAACCTTCAACTCCTGAAAAATCACATCATACAGAAACTGTAATAGTGGCATGACTAGGCAAAGAACAGTCACCACTTAAAATCCCCCACATGATTGATGATGGATTAGAATCTGTACCTCAATTGTGGGAACTTGATGCTATAGGAATAATTCCTGAACAACCAAGTCCTGATGATGTCTGTGCATATAATCAATACTTAGAAACTGTACAGTACTATGATGGACAGTACTGGGTAAGGCTACCATGGAAAATCAACCATAAAACCTTACCTACCAATTATCACATGGCTTATAGTCAATTTAAATCGCAACTAGCAAAGTTAAGAAAAAGGCCTGAGCATTTAAAACTCTATCATGAGATTATTGCTCAACAATTAAAGAATAAATTCATCGAAGTCGTGAAACATGACAATACGCAAATAGGCCATTTTTTACCACACATGGCTGTAATGAGAGAATCAAAAACGACTCCTTTACGGATAGTTTTTAATTGTAGCTCTAAATCTGGACCCCAAGGAACCAGTCTAAATGATTGTTTGCAAACAGGTCCAAGTCTAACTCAGAAATTGTATGACATACTGTTGAAGTTTAGACTTAACAAATATGCGTATTCAGCAGATATAAGTAAGGCCTTTCTCAGAGTTGGCTTGCAGGAAGAAGATAGAGACTTCACTAAGTTTCTATGGGTAGAGAACCCAGAAGATGTCAATAGTCCAGTAGT